AGGACAGGTGGGCACCAGGGTTGTATCTTTTCACCGTACTTAGTCAATTTGCATGCTGAGCAAGTAATCCAAGAAGCTGTGCGGTGTTTAAAAAGAACAGAGCAACAGGATTATAGGAAGGCTCCTTAACAAGGAGCCTTAACAGAAGGCTCCTTAACAACATTTGTCTATGCAAACAACACAGATTTGCTTGCTGCAGGTAAAGGGGACTTGAGCACTTTACTGATGAATATCAAAGCCTTTAGTATAGGTTACAACTCGGTGTGAAGAAGACAACGATCCTCACAAAGGGACCGAGAGACAACTCGATGATATGCAGAGAAAAGCCTGCATTCATCAAGGATTTCTTTTTACCTGGAGACACGGTCAGCACCCCTGGCAGCAGTAGTCTGGACATCAAACAGCTCATTGGGCAAACGTGCTGCGCAAGACCTTTTATAAAATGGTTACGTGCAAAGATGTCACTTAGAGCAGAGGACTAGGGTGCACCTGGTCCAAGCCAGGTATCTTCAACTACCTCTAGAGCAGATGAAAGCTGGACAGTCCATCAGGAAGACTGAAGAAGAAGGGATGTATTTGAAACCTGGTGTTGGCGAAGAATATTGAAAGTACCAGGGACTGCCAGGAGAGAAACAAACTGTCCTTGACCGAAGAGCAGTCAGCATGCGCCTTCCAAGTAAGGGTAGCGAGACTGCCTCGTGTGCTTTGGACACGCTGTCGAGAAAGATCGGTTTCAGGAAAAGGGAAGACCCTTCGGGAGATGGATTGGCACAGTGGCTGCAACAATGAGCTCAAACATCACAGCAATTGTGACGATGGCGCAGGATTGAGCAGTGTTTCATTGTGATGCTCATAGAACCACTCAGAGCCAACTGAGTGGCACCTTGCCACCACACTAAGAACCGATGCTTTGTTCTCGAAGCAATCGGGTGAAGTAAACGATAAAGGAAGGTGAAAGGAGTTCGTTCACCCCTGCAGGGATTTGCTAACAGCGTTTGGTCCTCTCCCTTCCTTTAACTGATGAGATGATTGATAGTTCTACACTGCCGAGGTCATCCCATCCCTACCCCGCTTATTTAAAAGCCTTTAGTTACAAGCTCTTCATTGTAGTGGATAGTCATTCCGTGTGCTTTGTACTTGATGTTTCGATAGTCTAAAATGTCAGTGTTAAGAAAGGCCCTGAGGACAACAAAGGCACGCATTTGCCTTGAGTACTATATGAGAGCCTGGAGAAATTGATAGAAAGTTACATAAACTATGAACCAGGAATTCTTCAAATGTCATAAGCACTTTTTTAAAATACAAGGGCTTGTATACCGTGTGCCTTCATGGGCGTGCATAGCTAACCCTCAGTCCACAGTTTCTCCTGGTGTTAGTTGCCGGCACATTAATTCCAGCCCGTGGAGGCCACACGTGGACTGTGTAGAACTGTTCCGTGGGACTTTGAAGGCTCTGATCTTTCAGGAGCAGGTTGTCGGGCCTGCCATCCAAGGTGCCTCAAGTGGTTGGCCCACCAAGCTTCCATGCAGTCATCGAGTGTGCAGCGGTCCGCACCGCTGGGGACTCTCCTTTAGGTCCACAGGCATTCCATTAAATCCTGGAGAAAGATGCTACGGCTTTTGTGACTTTGTGTGCTACGAGTATAAATGATTCATGTTTTAAAAGGGTCACATTGTTCAACCCCTATGTTACTCAAATCACCACTGCAACTAGAACAATCATTGGTCATCATTGCTTATTTTTAGATCATTGCTTACTTTTTATGAAAACCTGGGGGTTCTAAATGTATAAACAGCTCCAATGATCCTTGTAAAAATTAGGCTAAAAAACATTCACATAGAAAATGTTTCTAAAACAAGAAAGAAAATATTTCTAGGTATTACCGTGTTAAGACCGGGGCTTTTCTGTCAGCCTATAAAACGTGGTCTGTTTTTGCTTCTTCTAGGCACTGCCTGCTGACCTGTGAGGAATGCAAAATTAAGCACGGATTAAGTGAGCAGAGAAGTTCACAGCCTTCGGCTACTTAATCTCCATCTGTGGATTTTGAAGTTTCTTAAAACTCGGGATTTGTACACATTTAAATTTCCAATGTACTTAAAAATAACAAACTTTCAGTGACCCCCGAACCAGGATGATTCCCGGACTCTTGTTGATGTGCTTTCCAATGAACGGCTCTTAATGAAATCACAGTTTCCAGCAGGGCTCAATTCATGCTTTTTCTGTTATTTGCAAATACATTAGGAGACCTTACACACCATAAAAAAAAAGCGATGCTACAGACCCACTTAATTACATAAAAGTAAAAGAATTTAGTCTTCTCTGACTAGCCTCTATCCATCATTTTTTTTAAAAAAATACTTTTTTGTGTGTTTTAGGTGAACATTTACATAGCAGATGTGCTTGTCCTTCGCTCGTTCATACACCAAGGGTTCTGTGCCAGGGGTTATAATCCATACAATGTTCACAAGCTTGCCTCATTCCCCCCCAGGTTCCTGGTGCCCGTTCATCCAGTTCCCCTGCCTCCCATACCTTCTCATCTGCTTGGGGACAAATCTTGCCCTTCGGGCTTGTGATAGTTGACTGGCCTAAGGATCACAGTCCTTCCAGATATTGTTTATTTGATAGACCAGTTCCGTTCTTGGGCTGAAAGATGATCTCTGGGAGTAGCTTCTTTTCCACATCAGAAGGCTGACTTAGGACTGTAGACTGAATTCCACCAGTTGCTGTCAGACCAGTCAGCCTAGTCTGTTTTCTACATTTTAATTTTGTTCTATGGTTTTTATCACCCATTCTAACTGGGACCTTCCACTGTGTTCCTGGTCAATGTGGCCAGTGAAGCCCCCTCTAAGTGCTTCAGGTCTCAGGTCAGAGGAGGCTGTGGTTTTGAGGGTCATTGGTCCTTTGGACTAAGTGCTCCTTTGTCTTTGGTTTTCGTCACCTCCTTTGCTTCCGGTGGGAAGAGGTGAGCTGCTAACTCTTAGATGGCCGTTAGCAAGCATTTAAGAACCTAGACTCCATTCGCCAAAGTAGGATGAAAACATCGTCCTTGAATTGCATTATACCAATTGGCCTAACTGCCCCACACGATGGTCCTTAGCCTTCAAGCCCCCCGCGGCTCAGTGCCACAAGGTATTTGGTTATGTCTAAGAAGCTTCCCAGTGTCCCCTATCTGCTCTACTCTACACAGGCACACGCAGCCAGGCCTGTTTCCTTACACTTCCCTTTATTGCGCACCCGAGAGACTGCATTTCTCACAAGCTGAAGATTTCTGGCTACTCTGCGACTAGCAAGTCTATTGGCACCATTTCTACAACGGCATGTGCTCAGTTCACAGCTCTGTATCATAGTTTTGTAATCCTTGTGTCGTTTCAAACATTTTCATAATGCTGTTGTATTCTTAATAAATATTACATTTTGGTGGAAACATAACATATATGCACTGGGAAACCAAAAAGGTTGCATGCATTACTCACTTTCTTGTGATACTCTTTATTGCGGTGGTCTGGAACCGAACCTGCCCTGTCTCCAAGGCCTGCTGTATATGTCGCACTTACAGACATGTGTTTAGAACTGTCCACAGCCAGACCTAGGTATGCATGCACATGTACTCCTGTAAGGCCTCCCACACTTCTTAGCATACATCTCTACCTTTATATCCGTTAAAAAATTGTTATTGCTGTTAGTACAGGATTGTATGTTATGGAATTTCCTATAATTGCCTTTTATTCTTGCATACCTCTCTGTTTCTCCCTTGACCTGGGTCACATTGTGCTGACCCGTACTCTGTATTATCTTTACCTGAATTAATACCTGTCTGCTCCAAAGCTCTTGAGTCTCCCTGCCCTGCCCTCCTATCTCCTGTAGCTATCAAAGAATATTTCTCTCTGTGTAAATCGATTCTTGATTTCTTTTTTATAATAGTGGTCTCAATATTTTTTTCTTTTAAAATCCAATTACCTCACTCAGGATAATATCTTCAGGTTCATCCAAGCTATGAGATGTTTTGCAAATTCATCATTGTGTCATATTCCACTGAACGTATTAGGGGCTTCAAAACTTCCTTGGCAATATGGAATGTAAACGTAGCAGGGTTGTCTCGCACATTTTTGACGCTCCCTCATATTTACTACAATCGACTCGTGGTAGGTGAAGTGAAATTTTGACATACCTGAGTGTCAAAATTGTGGAGTGAAGTGGAACAATCGTTAGAAGAGGAAAAAATTAATGAATCAAAGTCCTAGAATGAGACCCTCAGGAGAGACATTGAGAGAACCCTCCCAAGAACCTGATGCAAGAGACTGGAGGGTGGCAGGGCTGTGCCGAGCAAGGCACCCTCAGGGCAACGTCAGCCACCAGCTTTGAGGGGACCACTGTTGTCTCTGAGTTTGTGCCAAGAAATTTGGTTGCTGTCCTTGTTTTCTTAAAAGAATGAGATTAAGTTACTAGCAGGGCAGGGACTGTCATTCTTCTCATTCCAGGCCACTCACTGTGCTAGACAGGGTTCTCTAGAGAGATAAAACCAAATTGCTGATAATTTAATATATTTATTTATAAAGATAATTAGATATATAACAAGGAATGAACTGTTAAATCATATACAGTTAAATATATAATACAAGAAAGAAACAGTTAAATTATAAAGCACTACAAATGGCTCAATTCAACTCACTGCCGTGAGAGAGATGTGAGAGATTAGCAGTCCTTCCAGTCCCATCTGCTGCCAGATCTTCCTCTATTTATAGAGAGAGCTAGGCTATGTCAGCACAGCAGCCAATCAGAAGGCAGGTCACCAACTGCCAGCCAGGTCACCAACTGCCAGTCCCCAGCTCCAGCGATGTCTTAAAGGGACCTCAACTTACAGCGACACAGTCCACAGGCTAGGGGTCCCACAGGTAGTGTAGCTTTTAAATTGGAGCACAGGACAAGCAACGCAGCCACACACTGGTCCGATGATCAAAGAGCGAGAGACAAGAAAGGCGAGACTCACCAAGCCATTTATCTCTCTGCCCTTCAGTTAATCCCGCTTGTGTGTATCGGCCAGGCTGGCACAAGAAACTGTCTCACTCACCTTTTACACGTGTGGGTCCGTTGCAGCCTCACTTCATCAGCCATGAGCAAACTGGGAAGGACCAGTGCACAGTCCTGATTCTGACTCACGATGACTCTCTGTAAGCCAGAGCAGTACTGTGCTCTGAAGAGTGGTGAATAGCATTTCTGCTGAAGGAATAACAATATGAGTGTGTGTGTGTATATATATACCAACTGTCTTCCAATATTCCAAGTGACTTTATGGCTCATCAGTGTGGTAGAAATTCAGAAACGGCCCATCATCTTTATGTTACAGATTTATGTAAAGGGTACATTCTTATGGCCAGCCTTCAAGAACCAGGTTCTTTCATAGACTACTGATTACCTGAAAGAGTCCCCGAGTGGTGTGAATAGTTAATGTGGTCAGATGCTAACCAAAAGGTTAGATTCCACCCAGAAGTACCTCAGAAGAAAGTATGGCAATCTATTTTCAAAAGCTCAGTCATTAAAAAACCCATAAAACTTCAATCACACAAAGTTCTAGTGTGACATGTGTGGAGTCATCATGACTCAGTGGCAACTAGTGACATGACCTGAATGGATAAACACAACTTCCCAAACCGCCCTTCTCTCTCCCAAAGAACAGTTTGTTTATGGGAGAAGTCAATGGGTGAATCAACTCGTGGAATCAAAAGGTGTCGGGGCTTTAGGGAGTTCAGAAGCAGCTCATCCCACTCTCAGTTAGCTCTTGACCCTTCTCCAACCAAGATTTTTTTTTTTTTTTACACAAAAAAATACAAGATAACAGCTACAAAGCCCATTCAAGGAGCTCCTGTTTTATGGCAGATTGAACCATCATGAGAACTTCTCTTACATCTTTTCAGGATTCGGTGTATATGTGTATCACTACTTCTGTGGACTGTGTGTCTGTGTGTATATTTTACTTAACACATCTTGAACCTGGGCCAGGGAACTAAAAAGGGATATTCCATCCAAAGTTAGTGTCAGATAAGAAATGCCTGTTTAGGCATTTGCATATGTAAATATATCTATATATGACGATGGGGAAATAGATCTACGTACATATATTTATAGGTTTAGTATTAAAGTAGCAGATGGACATTGGGCCTCTACCCAAGTACTCCCTCAATACAAGAACACTTTGTTCTATTAACCTGGCATTCCATGATGCTCATCTTCCTCACACAATC